AAATAGGAAGAAAGGCAGACAGACAATCTTTGGGGAGGCGATACCTTTCTGGCAGGGATTGAACTGTCCAGGATGACGCTGTCCAGATTCTCGCACAGAAGTGTGCACCGCGAGGCCTGCAGGAGATCTGGGAGTTATTAACTGCAAGAGCCGTCCCCCACACTTCTCAGTTCTGCTTGCAGCTGCAAGGGAGAATTCTGAAGGCAGGATGCAAGGTGTCGTTGTTAGCAGAGAGCTGCCTCTACCATGAATTGTGTACAGCTGGTCACCTCCCTCCCTCCCCCACAGCAGGCGATTTGCAGGGAGTGCTACAGCTCCTAAAGCAATGAAAACCAAACACCGTCCTAACCCGAAGGTGTTTCTAATTACAGCAGCTAATTACCAAACCTTCACTGCATTTAATTGCCACAAACAAAATCACAAAAGAACAATTAACAAGCAAAACCCTGTACTAACAGTTAAGTCTAAAAAGGAAGTAGTGAAAGGGAGGGAAGGAAGGAGGGAGAGAGGAGGGGAGGAGGGAAGACGGAAAACGGAGGAGGGAGAATGGGGGGATCTAAATCTTGTAGTCCGTCTTGAGCAGGTATACGGTCATTGTAAATACTTTCTATGCTTCTCAATCACCTATGAACATTCACTTGTGAAATCTCAGGGCACTAAGTCTGCCAAAATCATCGGCTCAAAGTAGTGAAATTGATAACCGGTGAATGAACAACCAAGGCCAGTTCTTGTTCACCTGAGTGTCCCAAGCTGCTGCTAGGCTCATATTGATCTCCAGTTGGCTCAAGACATCTGTTTTTCCAGTTTGGTCAACATCCCCAGTGTTCCTTTTCATAAGTTATCATTTTGACAAAAGCTTAGAAACGAGTGTGTCGATCTCACAGCAAAAAATGTGGCTTATCTCTAAAATAAGAATGGAGAATGGAAATGCCAAAATTCCTGAAGTTCAAGTGCTTGCACAAGACACAGTTCACATACAAAAAGCTTTCCTACAACTCCATCCAAAGACTCTGTTAACCCAAAATATCAGAGACAGGCTCCAACTGCTAAGAAAGTTTATTTTGCTGGGGTTAAGGACACACCCATGACACAGCCTCAGGAGGTCCTAGTGACATGTGCCCAAAATAGTCGAGGTACAGCTTGCCTTTGTTTGGTTTTTTTGAGATGGAGTCTTGCTCTGTCATCCAGGCTGTAGGGCAGTGGCATGATCTCAGCTCACCACAACCTCCATCTCCTGGGTTCAAGCGATTCTCCTGCCTCAGCCTCCCAAGTAGCTGGGAATACAGGTATGCACCACCACGCCCAGCAAATTTTTATATTTTTAGTAGAGACAGGGTTTCACTATGTTGGACAAGCTGTTCTCAAACTCCTGACCTCAGGTGATCCACCTACTTCGGCCTCCCAAAGTGCTGGGATTACAGGTGTGAGCCACAAGGCCTGGCCATGCTTGCTTTGGTACAGTTTAGAGAGACGAGACATCAATCCCTATCTGTAAGATGAATTCTGGCTCTGTCCGATAGGGCAGGACAGGACCACTCGAAGTGGGATCTTCCAGGTTAGAAGGAGGTAAGAGACAAAAGGTTGCATTCTTTTGAGTCCTTGATCAGCCGTCCAGTGAATACACCGTTTAGCCTGGCTCAGTGAATCTGCATTATTACATAAACAATAGGGCAGGAGAAGGAATCAGATATGCATTTGTCTCAGTGAGCCTCAGCACGGATGACTTTAAGTTCCTTTTTTTGGGGGTTTGTTTTTGTTTTTTTGTTTGTTTGTTTTTGAATTTAAGTTGTTTTTTTTAATTGCATTTTAGGTTTTGGGGTACATGTGCAGAACATGCAAGATAGTTGCATAGGTCTGTCCTTTGTCCACAAGGAATTTCCTTGTAAACAAATTGTGAGGGAGGGAGGTAGCTTCTTTGTAGCTATCTTATTTAGGAATAAAATGGGACGCAGGTTTGTGTGACATAGTTCCCAGTCTGACCTTTCCCTTGACTTAGTGATTTTGGGGTCCCGAGATTTACTTGCCTTACACAGCTCTCAGGATTGGAATAATAATAAAAGCAATAAGAAATTAATAACTTCTTGATGAGTATATTGTAAACGTCAGGCATTGTGCAAGCTATAAGAAAAACCGAAATATAAAACGTAGTCCCTATTCTGCAGAAGTTCCCAACCAACTGGGTGGGCGAGGGCAGGTACGTAACGGATAATTAGAGAGATGGTGCAAAACGCACAGGGCACCACGGAGGGTGAGCATCGTTGGAGTAAGGGACATACTGTAAGGGGGGGTCTCCAGAAATGAGAGGTGCATGAGCGGAGCCCCAAAACACTGGATCTCAATTCTGGCTGCATTCTACAATCACCTGGGAAATTTCACCAATGTAGATGCCTGTGTCTGACTGGCCCCCAGACATTGATTTAACTGGCCTGGGATTCGGCTTGGTTTTAGGAAGTTCCGAAAGATGTCCAAGTGACTCTAATGTGCGGCCAGTTTTGAGAACCTGTGTCCTAAAGCACTGCTATTCTGCAAATTGGAATCACCTGGAGAGTTTTAATAAACTCCAGTGGGTGGGTCCCACCCCTAGAGACTGGATTTAATTGGTTTGGGTGCAGCCAGAAACTAAGGAACTTTTTAATGCTCCCCAGGTGATTGTAATGCACAGATGAGCTCAAGAACCACTGCCTTGGAGGAATGCTTCTCAAAACTGAATGTGCATAGGAATCAGCTGGAGATCTTGTTAATAGGCAGATTCCTAGTCAGTAGGTCTAGGCTGAGGTCTGAGGTCTTACCTGTCTGAGGGGGGCCCTAGGTGCTGATGTCATTAGTCTTGCAGCCACACTTAGATTAGCAAGGCCCTAAGGAATAAGCACAAGTCCTCCATGTGGAACTAATGTGGTCCTGTACTAGGATGGTGCTACAGGAGAGAGAACAAGGGATGAACTAGAGGGATTCTTAGCAATTATTCAGTGAGACCTGGTATAAGATATGCACATGAGAATGAGAAAGACGAGGGCCACAGTCAGGTTTCCAGCATGGAAGCCTCAGCCTTCACATGCACCAAAGGACATCCCAAATAATGCCGAAGTCTTGCTGGATTCATGGTCTCTTTCATGTTTACCAAGTACCAGCTCCCATGCTCCAGCTCCAATGTCTTTTCCTTCGTCATCATCCCAGACACCTCGCAGATAGAATCAGCCATGCCTTCCTTGCTCTTCTTTCCTCTTTCCCCAAAACAAAAAGTGCAAATCCACATGCTTGAGGAGTGGGCCGCGTCAGCACGTGCTTGAGAGCACAGGCTGGATGGCAGATGTGAGAACAGGAGAGCTCACGCCCTATAGAAAGAAGTGGCGGCTACTCAGATCTCCCGTGTGTGGCTTCACAGGAATATGGACCCAGTGTTGCAGATTGTTCATTTTCTAAGAAAAGACGAACATCTGGAATTGTGTGTGAAAACTGCAGGGTGTTAGAGGTTAGCAATTCAGATATTTTCAAACAGCCTGTGGGCCAAAAGATGGATCTGTGGGCTCAGATGTAGCTGGGGTCCCCTAATCATGACCTGTGGCCCCGGTATCCTGCCACTTCCCAGTATACAGTGACTGCTGTGACAGAGCTAACCTGGGATGCCATTTCAGCTAAGATGAAGAAGGACCAGCTAGGGGACCCTGAACTGCTTGGGTGTGACCAGAACAAAGGGTGGGTGGGGTGGGTGGGAGTACAGGAGGAGAGTGTAGCGCTGACAGGTAAAGCTAACAAGCAGACTGACACCGGGCTGAGAGTCCTAAATACCAAAGGCAACTTGGACTTGGTTCTGGACATGATGGGACCCGTGCCGGCTTGTGCTTTGGAAAGAAAGAAGGCAAATGTGTCCCACTCCACTTTATCTTTGTTTCTTTCTAGAATGTAGCCCTTTAGGGCCTAGCGCCACAGGTCTGCTTTTACCAAAGGATGCAGAGTGACCTGCTGAAATGTCTTCGGGAACCATTCTGGGAACCCACATGTGTGTATCCAGCCAGGTATAAGACAGTTATAACTGGGGAATTGTGGGGTATTGGCCAGCTGGAGATATTTAGATGCTCAGATTCAAAATTTCAAAAAATATTGTGGATGGAGAAAAAAATTGGCCCTAGAAGTTCTAGCTTCCAACCTCTGGATAAAGGTTTATGAACCTCCAGAGATACTACTGGTACCCTCAAAAAGCACTGTAGCCACCATACGTTGTTACTGACTCCAAAATACAAAGACCACTGGTAGTGATCCCGATGGTTGAATGTTCACTTCATATCTCCTAGTGTATACATCGTAGGGCTGCAGGATGTCACCTGGGGAAGCAGCTAGAACATCCCAGAGTAGCAACTCCACAAGAGCCAGCACAGGGTGGAAGGGCGAACCCTGATCCCCAGTGAACACATAGTCCTAATGACAGGCTTGGCACATAGTTTGTGACACATCAGCTTTTAAAGGTTTGTTTAAATTAAAATGATACAGGATCATAGAAAGAAATCAAATAAAGACGGGTATGAAAAGGAAAGTAGGGAGCCGTGGTGACTCTGGCCTGTTGTCCTGGTGCTTGAGGAGGCAAGGCTACACATTTGAGGCCAGCCTGGGCAGCGTAAAAACCTCTTATCCATCAAAAAAAAAAAAAACTGGGGCACAGTGGCTCGTGCCTGTAATCCCAGCACTTTGGGAGTCCAAAGTGGGCAGATCACCTGAGGTCAGGAGTTCAAGACCAGCCTGACCAACATGGTAAAACCCCATCTCTACCACAAATACAAAAATTAGCCAGGTGTGGTGGCAGGTGCCTGTAATCCCAGCTGCTTGAACCCAGGAGGTGAAGGTTACAGTGAGCCACTGCACTCTAGCCTGGGCAACATAGTGAGACTCAAAAGAAAAGAAGAGGAGAGGAGAGGAGATGGGAGGGGAGGGGAGGGGAGGGGAGGGGAGGAGAGGGGAGGAGACGGGAGGGGAGGGGAGAGGAGAGGAGGAAAGAAAAAGAAAGAAAGAGAGAGAGAGAGAAAGAAGCAAGCAAGCAAGAAAGAAAGAAAGAATGAAAAAGGCCAGCACCCCTTCCTTGCCGGCCGGCACTTCGACTGCAGAGTTTTGCCCACACTTCGAGACTTAGGGCGCAGTGCCTTTCAGAATTTGCCCACTCATCTGGTATAACTAGTTCTGATGGCTGGGAATAAAGGAAGAGGACGTGCTGCTTATACCTTTAATATTGAAGCTGCTGGATTTAGCAAAGGTGAAAAGTTACCTGATGTAGTGTCGAAACCACCCCCACTATTTCCTGATACAGATTATAAACCAGTGACACTGAAAATGGGAGAAGGTGAAGAATATATGCTGGCTTTGAAACAGGAGTTGAGAGAAACAATGAAAAGAATGCCTTATTTTATTGAAACACCTGAAGAAAGACAAGATATTGAAAGGTATAGTAAAAGATATATGAAGGTGTACAAGGAAGAATGGATACCACATTGGAGAAGACTTCCAAGAGAGATGATGCCAAGAAATAAATGTAAAAAAGGCCCCAAACCCAAAAAGGCAAAAGACGCAGGCAAAGGCACTTCACTCATTAATACTGCAGATGTTTTGAAAAACATTGAGGAATTGGAAAAGAGAGGTGATGGTGAAAAATCAGATGAGGAAAATGAAGAGAAAGAAGGAAGCAAAGAGAAAAGTAAAGAAGGCAAGGATGGCGATGACCACGATGCTGCAGAAGAGGAGGAATATGATGAAGAAGACCAAGAAGAGGAAAATGACTACCTTAATTCATACTTTGGAGATGGAGATGACTTTGGCCCAGACAGGATGAAGCAAACTTTTAGGCATGAAATTAAAAAAAAAAAATTTTATGATGCAGCTTCTGAACATTTGGACAGTCTTATTTCTGATAGGGTATAAGTATTTATGTTTTTGTTTTTTTGGACAAATATTTGTTACCAAAATATTCAAAACCACTTTGAGTTTACATACTAGTTACCTTACAAATTAGTCCCTGACACTCTGACATTCCTTCTAAACACCTCTGCCATCTCTCTTATGTACTCTCGTGGATTTTTTCATATTTGAATATGAATGTGCCTAAAGAATTTATGCTCTCTTAATCTATATATACATACTTGAAGAAATCATTCTTGCTTAACTGCTGATCTTTTATAAAACTATTGCTAGTCATAATGAATTTCTATAACCTGAAAGTTGATATAACAGCACATGGAGCACTTTAAAAACAAACTTGAAAATAATTTTAGTTTTTACTTTTACATAGTATGTTCTAGACTACTGCATTTTGACTACATAAACCTACCTGAGCTCTTACAAGTGCACAATTGTGAGATAGAGGTTTTGTGATGGAAAACATACACGCAGGGAAAAATACCAAACTGAGCAATATCAAGTTCAGAGCTCACATCTTATCCAGTACAAAGAAACTTTCACAGGGGGTGAATATTATAAATACTTGAATTTGGGACTGACTTGATACTGTATGATATATAAATTAATCACCTCACTGTAATCACTTGGACATCTTCAAATAGTTGGGCTTATGAAAAACTTGACTAAGATACTTTATTTTGTCCTTTATGTAAGTGTGAAATAAGTTCTGGTCATATAAATATCACTATAGAATGCATGTGAGTGAACTCTATGAAGTATGGTGGCATTTTATGTTTCAGAGTACTCAAGTTGTACATTTGATTTATATAAATGCAAAATGAACTCAGGTCATTTTGAAATTAAGACTTTTTTGTTTAACTTTAAAGCTAGCTCCCCCAACTTTATATACTTTTGGGGAAAAAAATGCCTAAAAACCTTAGCCTACAAAGACTCTCACAAATGCCAAAGATTTTCAAGGAAATTCATATTATATATTTGAAAAATGATTGATCAACGTTATTTACCAAAAGAAATTATTTTTCCCCTTTGGGAAGATATCATTAACCTGAAATGTGGGAACCTGATCCCTAGATTCTATTTCTACCTGTACTATTAAATTCAACCTTGAAACTGAAAAAATAAATAAATAAATGAAAGAAAGAAAGAGTTAAAGGTTCCCTGCTGCTACCAGTACAAGAAGATATACTAAAAATAATATTACTTAACAAAGTGTATCTTCATAATATACAATAATATTAATTATATCCATTAATATGAATAACTTAACAGTTAATACAAAAGGAAGGAAATTTGAGAAGAATAATGCTTTGACTACATCAGGAAAATAAATGGAGGTATGAAGATAAGTATTTTCTGACATTTTTAAAAATCTTAATAACAAAGTATTCTTCAAAGTATGGTAAAATAAACACTTTTTAAAAATAAATTAACATCTTTAAAATGCTGGAAGGAGAAAAATCTGTCAACTCAGATCTATATAGCCAGAAAAAATATCCTTCAAAAACGAGGGCAGAACAAAGACTTTTTAGATAAGGGAAAGCTGAAAAAATTCATTGGCAGCAAGCCTGAACTACGACAATCCTTCAGTCTGCAGGGCAAGAATACTAAGTGGAAACTCAGATAAATAAGAAATGAAAAATTCACCAGAAATGGTAAACATGCGGGTAAATATAACATTTTCTCATTTCTTTAAAAGACAATGACCATTTAAAGGAAAGCAATATTGTATCGTGGATTTATAAAACATGGAGTATTAAAATATAAGATAGCAATAACACAGTCACCTCTATCAGGCGACTGTCCCCTCCTTACCCTCTCCCCTGCTAAGCCCAGACATCATGATCAAGAACCAGATTCAAATGTTGGCACCACCACTTCCTAAGCAGCCTCTGTCAAACCATCCAAATTCTCTGAACCTCAAATTCCTGTTCTCAGTGTTGGTGGTTTTATCACCATCTTCACAGGCTTAGAGAGCCGGCAGGAGCATGTTGGCCTGGGCTGTGAGCCCAGGGTTTTGGTCCCTGAAGCCCACGGAACCCCAGTGCTGTACAGTCACACTGTGATGCCATGAAGTGTCTATGTGACCATGGCAAGCCACTCACTGACACCGTTCCCCAGAAGCTCATCCATCAAGCATGCACACTCACTACTCTGCTCAGCTCACCCACTAGGCAGCTCAGCTACTATTTGGCACCATTTCCCTGGCCCCAGCGCCTCTCCATGGGATAATCCCCTCCCCATTGGTGGATGAGCCCAGCACTGTGGCTGCGTCCCCTGGCACCCATCCACTGAGAGACCAGTAGGTATCCCACCCTTCTGCTGGTTACTGCACTGCCACCGGGCACCACAGGCTACACTAACACTGAACACAGATGTTCAAGTCATCAAAGGGTCAGTGACCAAGCAGAGAACCCTCAGGATGTGTGAACACAAAATGGTCAAAGAGGAAGCATAGTTCCCTCCAGGTGACAGTACCACATCAGCACGTCCTTGCTCAAAATCATTCCGTAAGCATTTCTGGAGCACCTACTATGCGCCAGACGTTGTGCTAAGCATTGAAAATACAGGTTAAGGGCTGGGTGCGGTGGCTCAAGCCTGTAATCCCAGCACTTTGGGAGGCCGAGGCGGGTGGATCACAAGGTCAAGAGATCGAGACCATCCTGGTCAACATGGTGAAACCCCATCTCTACTAATAATACAAAAAAAATAAAATTAGCTGGACATGGTGGCACGTGCCTGTAATCCCAGCTACTCAGGAGGCTGAGGCAGGAGAATTGCCTGAACCCAGGAGGTGGAGGTTGCGGTGAGCCGAGATCATGTCATTGCACTCCAGCCTGGGTAACAAGAGTGAAACTCCATCTCAAAATAAATAAATAAATAAATAAAATACAGGTTAAGAAAAACATATGCTGAAATGTTGCAGGTAGGTGACATGGGGTAGGCAGACTCACCTCAAAGAAGGAAAATTTAACACAGAGCCATCAAAACAATAGTAATATACCATCAGGCCACCTTCGTGGAAGTATCGCAGCATGCTACACACCCTTGTGTCAGTTCTCTAGAGCTACCATAACAAATCACCACAAACGTCATGGCCTAAAACAACAGAAATCCATTCTTGCACAATTCAGGAAGGTGGCAGTCCAAGACCAAGCTATCAGCAAGACCACACTTTCTCCAAAGACTCTAGGGGAGACTCCCTCCCTGCCTCTTCCCACTCTTGGCGGCTCCAGACATTTCTTGAATTGCGGCTGCGTCACTCCAATTTCCGCCTCCACCTTCCCAAAACCTTCCTCTGTGTCTCTCCCAAATCCGCCTCTGCCTTTCTCTATAATGACCCTGTCACTGAATGTGGGGTACATCCTAAATCCAAGGAAATCTCATCTCAAGATCCTTAATTACATCTGCAAAAGTCTTTATTTCAAATACAGTTACATTCTAAAGTCCCCAGTGGCCATTTTTTTTAAAGGGCTACAATTCAATCCACTATCACCCTTTACAGACATGGACTCACCCATGCCTCAAAACACTCTTCTAAGGCAAATACTGTCAATACCCTCATTTTACATATGGTGAAACTGAAGAGAAGTTAAAAATTTGCCCAAAATGACATGATTAATCATGTGAGAGCCAGGATTTGAACCCTGGGCTCTCTGATGTCTTGATGCTACTTTTGTACATCCTCCCATTCTTTATCAGTCCCATGATAGTTGGGAGCAGACTGGGCTAATTCAACCTTCAAGGTCAGAGACAGGTTCTCAGAGGGAGGTAGAGCTAAGCCCAGCACTGATGGCTGAAGTTGACCTGGAAGAAGAAACCAGGAAAGGGCATTAGAGGAGAGGAAGTAGCATGGCCCAGGGAACAGTGTAGTTTATTGCCAAGGAACAGCACATGGCTCATGATAGCTGGTGCATGGGGTGCAAGAGAAAGAGAAGTGAGCAGCCCCAAAAACAGGGGGCTCAGCAAGGCCAGAGCCCAGAGGGTGTTGAGAGCCAGAGGGAGGCCGACCTTTGTCTTACAGGCTGCAGGGAGCCATTAAACTGGGTGAAGCAGAACAGGTGTATAAGCTACGCTGCTACTGCGCAAATGCTAGACTGAGGGGCACACTGAACAATACGGAAAAGTTACCCAACTCCTGTTGTCCAGCCCCACCTGCTGTTCTGCTCTAATCATGCAGGCGTAAGAACTGGTAGAGTTGGCACCACTCAGGGCCCCTGGCCCCATCTCCAACACTCATCTCTGCTTGCTGGGTTTAGAATCTAAGCCTAACTCTCAAACATGCTGACATTTGAAAAAGGCATTTCTGATAGAAATGAAAACGGGGAATCGCCACACTGTCTTCCACAATGGTTGAACTAATTTACACTCCCACCAACAGTGTAAAAGTGTTCCTTTTTCTCCACATCCTCTCCAGCATCTGTTGTCTCCAGATTTTTTAATGATCGCCATTCTAACTGGCGTGAGATGGTATCTCAATGTGGTTTTGATTTGCATCTCTCTGATGACCAGTGACGATGAGCATTTTTTCATATGATTGTTGGCCTCATATATGTCTTCTTTCATAAAGTATCTGTTCATATCCTTTGCCCACCTTTGAATGGGCTTGTTTGTTGACCCAGCAATCCCATTACTAGGTATATATCCAAAGGACTATAAATCGTTCTACTATAAGGACACATGTACACGAATGTTCATTGCAGCACTGTTTACAATAGCAAAGACCTGGAATCAACCCAAATGCCCATTGATAATAGACTGGATTGGAAAAATGTGGCACATATACACCATGGAATATTATGCAGCAATCAGAAATGATGAGTTCGTGTCGTTTGTAGGGACATGGATGAATCTGGAGAACATCATCCTCAGCAAACTGACACAAGAACAGAAAATGAAACACCGCATATTCTCACTCATAGGTGGGTGATGAAAAATGAGAACACATGGACACAGAAAGGGGAGTACTAAACACTGGGGTCTATTGGGGGGAAAAGGGGAGGGCCAGTGGGAGGGGGAAGTGGGGAGGGATAGCCTGGGGAGAAATGCCAAATGTGGGTGAAGGGGAGAAGAAAAGCAAAGCACACTGCCATGTGTGTACCTACGCAACTGTCTTGCATGCTCTGCTCATGTACCCCAAAACCTATAATCCAATAAAAATAAAAAAATAAAAAAAAACAGAGATAATAGAACATTCAGTAGCAAACAAAGAAGTAATATATATATATATAGTTTATATACATATATATGTATATTTAAGAATAAGAAAATAACCATATATACAAAAAATCAAAATAATTATAAGTGCATAGAACTGTCCTAATATTCTAAGTCATTTTAAACCTCAATAAAATTTAAAATTTCCTATGAGAATCAAAAAAAAAAAAAAAAAGAAATGAAAACGGGATGGTTACCTCGAGCAACCAATGGCAATGCCGGAGTCATACATCGTTGGCTTATTGTTGGAAAGGTCACAAGCACCCGGAGGCAGCCCATCTCTCTCCCTGAGGCCCAGGAAGGCGGAGTGGTTCAAAGCCCCTGCACACAGACGCAGAGCACCCAAGGAATGTGTCAGGAAGGTGAAGGTAAACAGGACGCAGCTCATGGCCCAAAGTGAGGGGAGCAGTGGCTGCCTCCCAAGTTGTGGCTATCCGGAGGCACCCGGACCACAGCCTAGAGGGTGGACAGAGGGGGACACTGGCAGAACAGATTATTTTAACCTTGCTAGCAGCAGCCCCCATCCTGATTGCCTGCGAGCTCAGCCGCCCAGTTCCTGCCAGCATACCTGTGGCCGATGCCAGGGAGACTCAGGGCGGGGCTATTTGCTCACTGGAATCCTGTGTATTCTGTGGGCAGTGAGAGTGTCACAGTTAGACCTGAACTTCACTGTGGAAATATTCATGCTTCAAAGGGAGAAAGCCAATGGGGGAGGTGATAAGAGGGAGCCCCTTAAATGGGCTCTAAACACAAGCCATGGTTGCTGGACTCCAGCAAGCCTCTTGGGATTTTGAGTTAAACACTAGCAAGAAGTCTTCTCACATGTCTCGTGGCCCTGTTCCCTGAACTGGACAATCTGTTTTTTTAAAGAAATAAACATTTTCCGGCCAGGCGTGATGGCTCATGCCTGTAATCCTAGCACTTTGGGAGGCCAAGGTGGGTGGATCTCAAGGTCAGGAGATGGAGACCATCCAGGCTAACACAGTGAAACCCTGTCTCTACTAAAAAGACGAAAAATTAGTCAGGTGTGGTGGCACATGCCTGTAATCCCAGCTATTCAGGAGGCTGAGGCAGGAGAATCGCTTGAATCCAGGCGGAGGTTGCAGTGAGCCGAAATCACACCACTGCACTCCAGCCTGGGTGACAGCAAGACTCCATCTCGGAAAAAAAAAAAAAAAATTAAGGAAAAGAAATACACAATTTCTGTGGTTTACCCAGTTTGAGAAAATCAAAGAATTAAGAGAAATATTGATGACCTGGAGAGACAGGGCTGACAGGTCAGATAGCGATGCTTGATTTCAGTTCAACACTTAGGGATAATCTACTACCTGGCAGACACCAGGCAGTCTGCTCTATGGCCCAACAGCTTGGGCCCCTCTGTTCTCAGGCACCACTCAGGACCCTGGGCCCTTGCGCTTATGTACCAATTCAGCCTCAACCATTCTCCTCTGTTCCCTGCCTGCCTTCCACGTATGAGATACCAGAGGGCAAAAAGTACGACTGTTCAGCACACAGAGCCAGGCTGCCTGGGATCAGTCTTGGCTTTTCCACCTCCACATGGCTCAGTTTCCTCATCTGTAAAATAGGTAATAATGGTACCTACCTCATCAGGTTGCCCTGAGGATAAGCGAGGTATCAGCTGGAAAGCGCCTAGGCCAGCGCCCGGCACATAGGGCGCCCTCTGCAAGCTCCATCACTTCTTCAGGGAGCCTCACATTTCCCCCATTTCACATCCTCTGTGCCAGGTTTCCTTAGCCTAGTATGTCAAGAAAACTGCTTCTTACAAACTAAGATTTTTTTTTCAGCCACACATCTCTCCCCACGAAGCCCAGCTCCTGGCTAAATAATTCTAGCCACCACTGATCACAACATTGCTTCGCTAGTCATAACTCTTAATAATTCATTGGATCCATTTAAAGTGTTTTTTAATTACAAATGTTCTAGTTCAGTTAGATACAAAATTAAATGCAGCAAGTAGTTTTATTTTCTCCATAGATTATCTTCAGAAAGAAACTGGAGTAGCTGAGTGCATCCTTACTTTCGAAGGGTTTCTCAGCCCACGTGATTCTGTAGGAAAGGAACTTCCCACCATTTGTGGAAGATCTCAACCATTAGTGAGGTAGAGGCAGGAAGTGGAGCAGATACCATCAAGCTGATGGACAGCCAATGTTTGTCTCTCCAGTCAGAAATTCACACTTGGGAAACACTAGTTCATTCTCCTACCCGGCCCTTTACCTTTCTCAGGATCTCCCTGACAAATAGCCTTCACCCTCAGCACCGTCACTGTCTCTCATGGCAGTTCAGCTAGAGAAACAGAAGAAAAAAGATGGGCTTGAGGTAAGTCAGATGTATGGGTGTCTGGGTAAGAGTTTGTGTGTCGTAGATGCCAATGGCGAGGGGGAGGGAGAGCAGGAGGATACTGGTTATGTCATGGCTGGGAGATTTATAAGTAAGTAGCAGGAAAATAATTTCTATGACAAACTCATTAGGCTTTATGAGATCGTTTGAGGTTAAGAACTTTGCACCTGAAGAAGTGCTACATAAATGGACTGTTTTCAGATGGGAGCACAGTCAGTTAGTAAGCACTCCAGAGGACCCTCGCATACATGTACACTTTACACTTGGTAACAGAATGTCGGGTGAAAGTCACAGGTTGGTGGAATGAGCTGACTTATTCTCACCCTTCATTACTCTTAAATAAATATTGGGTCTGAAGGCAGGAGTTCTGGAAGGAGAACTATGTGCATATGGTGTTTCAGCCCCATTTGGCATATTAGAAAATTTGGAACTAAGGAAATGTGTAGCCAAGAGCACGTGCCCACCAAGTGACAGAGCCAGCACCAGACCAGGGTTGTCTGCTACCCAGAGCTCACAGACCATTCTGGGAAAAGGCCCAGTCTGGGCTAGGCCTGGGTGTCTACACCCTTTATGTTGCCAGATTTAGGGATTAAGTCAGATTCTTAACTTTAACTCAGCCCAGTTTCCTCCCAGGGCCGATATTGACAAAACACTGCATTTTGGTTTAAAGGACTGTGCAGTCAGCCTCTTTGCCTCTTCTGGCAGGATTTCCTGTGGAAGTACTGATGCCAGTACTGTCTCAGAAAGCATGGGATACTTTTTTTTTTCCTCTCTCTTTTTTTTTTTTGTTTGTTTTTTTTGAGACGAGGTTTCACTCTTGTTGCCCAGGCTAGAGTGCAATGGTGTGATCTCGGCTCACTGCAACCTCCACCTCCCAGGTTCAAGCAATTCTCCTGCCTCAGCCTCCTGAGAGCGAGAATTACAGCCACCCACCACCATGCCTGGCTAATTTTTGTATTTTTAGTAGAGACAGGGTTTCACCACATTGGCCAGGCTGGTCTCAAACTCCTAACCTCAGGTAGGGACCCTCCCTTCTTTCCATCTCCAACTGCTTGGCTGGGCAGCCAGGAGGCAGAGGGGATGGAGTTAGCAGTGGAGCTGGCAGAGGGCAGGGACAACAGAGAGCAGAGTTAGGGGTCCTGTTCAGGTACCTCTCTAGCATCTGGTCAAAGTATACATCCTGGAAGGCGCTCTCAGGCGCCTTGTGCCATTTTATGGGCAAAGTCTGTGAAGGTCATTGTGCCATCTTGGAAGAGACAGGCTGTGCATGAAACAAGGGCCTGTCTGCTCTGCCTCATGGAGGATTCCAGAACAGGGTCTGCACATACACTGCTCAGGCTCTGAATGTAATTATTCCCCTCCCTAAGTTTGTCACATGAGATGGTTTTAGGTGGTACAAGCGGAAACGTTTTCTATGGAGCTTATGCATTTATTTTAATGCATATTAGCTAAGCATAGCCCAGCTAACCTGTGGTTTCACAGATACCGCTTAGGACAAGCTGTATTTGTGATTTACTGTTTCCATGTCTCCAATTAGCTGCATACTGCAGCAAAAAAGTACAGACATCACCCTCCCAAGTATGAGAAAGAGTGAGAAGAAAATTCCAGAGGTGTCTTAGCATGTTAGACAGAAATACAGGAAAGAGGTGAGGAACAAGTGTTCTGAAGTCAGATTGCCTGGGCCAGCCATGCTGGCCATGTGACAACGGGCAAGTGCCTTCATCTCTCTGTATTACTGTCAGTGTTGAGCCATTAAAATGTGTTGAGTCCTTTGTTGCTGCAGCTAGCAATCCCCTCATACAGCCACCATGCAAAACCCTGGCAAAGGCTCTTTTTCTCATCTGTGAATGTAACCATTTGAAAAAGTATAAAGTGTTCAAAACTGAAAGAGTTTATTTACAACATCTAATAGTATTGTTGGAAATAATAACATAAATGACATGTTCACGCCTGTACAGTTTTTTAAAAAATTATCCTGCTATTCAAAATCATTAGAATTAGCAAAGATGCCACCAACGTGCTTAGAATTTAGCTCTTTGAGTAGGAGCGAGTGTGCTGCCACCAGGCTACCACACTGGCTAGGCTGTCTCAGTCACTGACTGGATCTGCACCAGGGGGCAAAGATTTCACAGTCATGAACCTGCAGGCAGATGAGCTATAACTTTAGGGAATAAGAACATCACCTTGAAATTAGCGCGGCCTCTACTAGAGCACTTTAAGCTAAAGACATTTCTTGTCACTAAATACTTGTGGATTTTTTTGTTGTTGCTGTTGTTTTAAGCTAAAAATGGTTTAACAGTAATTTTCCGAATTAATAATATACAAGTCTCTCCTCAAGAAAAAGAATGAAAGCAAAGTGTTTTATAACATTTTTAGAAATAAGAGGTGTTTATTCATTGCAGAAGCAATACATGTTTATTTTAGTAAATGCAGAAGAAAAGAACAAAGCAAAGTATTTTAAATTGCATAGAGTCCAACGAATCATGAAGTATGTATATGAGCATATGCATATGTATATATGTATATGTACTTATGCGTATGTTACCATTTTACTTTTTTTTTTTTTTTTTTTTTTTTTGAGACGGAGTTTTGCTCTTGTTACCCAGACTGGAGTGCAATGGTGCGATCTCGGCTCACCGCAACCTCCACCTCCTGGGTTCAGGCAATTCTCCTGCCTCAGCCTCCTGAGTAGCTGGGACTACAGGCACGTGCCACCATACCCAGCTAATTTTTGTATTTTTAGTAGAGACGGGATTTCACCTTCTTGACCAGAATGGTCTCGATCTCTTGACCTCGTGATCCACTCGCCTCGGCCTCCCAAAGTGCTGGGATTATAGGCGTGAGCCACCGCGCCCGGCCTACTTTTTCTGTCCAAAATTAAAGTCATCCGTACCTACTATTTTGTAACTTTCTGTTTTTCAGTTCACACACTGCAAACTTTTCCCTATTTCATTATTCTCCAACATCATTTTCAAACGTTACCTGCCGATTTCCCACAGCCTTCCACCCTGCCTCCTCTTTTACACTTAAAGCAGACAACTTCACCTCTTTCTTCTCAGAAAAATTAGAAGCCATCAGAAAGCTGCAACTCCCTCATTTTCTCATTACTAAGCTTGCAAAGCTCCCTGTAAATCTGCACATGCACTCTGTACCTTTGCTGTGCTGGAGAAGGCAATTCTTTGCCAGCTCTGCCTGCTCCTCCAGAATCTGCTTTGGGTCCAGTCTTCCCCATCTGGCCAAGCTCTCCTCTAAGCTCTAGATGGGAATATCCAGCAGACTTACAGCCTCTTCTCATGAATGGCTCCAGTGTACCCTGAAGTCCACATTTCTCAAGGCTGGTGCTCATTCAGTGTTCTCTGTCACGTGCTACTAGTTGCAAGAGACCCAAAAGTCATCTTCAATGCCTCCCTCTCTTTCACTCCATATCCAGTTAGTCACTGAGGCCATTCAAATCTCCCTTCCAGATATCTCTTGAATTTGTCTAGTCACATCTGTCTTCAGCACCACTACCCTCCTTGTCTCTGGACTTCTTAAGTCTCTTCATCCACTCTGCCCTCCTCCTATCCATTTGCCAAACAACAGGCAAAGAGATACTTTTGTTTTTGTTTTTGTTTTGAGACAGAGTCTTGCTCTATTGCCAGGCTGGAGTGCAGTGGCATGATCTTGGCTCACTGCAGCCTCCACCTCCCAGGTTCAAGTGAGTTTCCTGCCTCAGTCTCCTGAGTAGCTGGGATTATAGGCATGCGCCACCATGCCCAGCTAATTTTTGTATTTTTAGTAGAGACAGGGTTCTACCATGTTGGCCAGGATGATCTTAATCTTCTGACCTCATGATCTGCCCACCTCAGCCTCCCAAAGTGCTGGGATTACAGGTATGAGCCACCGCGCCTGGCCAAGGGATGCCTTTTATATGATAAATCATGCACACCCTGGCTCAGAATCGTTCAGGGCTTTCTATTGCTCTTAGGAACCACAGAAAGTTCTTCCACGTGGCTTCCATGACGTTCCATAGCCCAGCTGATGCTCACCTCACCTTACGTGGCCTCTGCCTCTCTGCACCTCCACTGCACTAGCCAGCTTCCCATTCCAAATGCGCTTTCTGCTCTCACTCACCACAGGACCTTTGCATATACTGTTCTCCCTGTCCAGAATGCTCTTTCTCTTTTTTGCTAGTTATCCCTTTTTAAGTACCTCTTCCTCAAGGAAATCCTTTTTGACCTCTTTTGCTAAATAAAATCCCATTATTGTAGCCTCTCAATTTATCTCTCACTCACAGCACATGTTCCAGCTGCAACATTGTACTTGCTTATGTGTCTGAGGTCTGTATTGTCTGTTCTCACACTGCCATAAAGAACTACCTGAGACTGGGAAATTTATAAAGAAAAGAGGTTTAACTGGCCCATTGTTCCACAGGCTGTACAGGATACAACCTGGGGAGACCTCAGGAAACTTAAAATCATGGCAAAAGGCAAAGAGGAAGGCTCAAGGCACTTGTTACATGGCTGGGGCAGGAAGAAGAGAGTAAAGGGGGAGGTTCTACACACTTTTAAACAACATGTTAAAAATGTCTCACATCTCATGAGAACTCACTCAGGGGCACAGAAACAGCAAGGGGGAAGTCTACGCCATGATCCAAACACCTCCCACCAGGCCCCTCCTACAACATGAGCTTTGGGTGAGGACCCGAATTAAACCATATCAAGGTCTATCCCCATTAAATTCTGAGTACCTCGGTGGCAGGAGTCGTGACTAATTTGCTTGTACACATATGTGTCCCCAGCTCTTAATCCAGCGCCTACCTTATGGTGTCACTTACTGGACATTCAAGAATGAATGAATGAGTTAAAGGTACAGCTAACTCAACAGAGCTTAGAGAAACTCAAGGTTTTTTTCTCTGAAATGGGTTTTTCGTGTAGTTTCCACTCCAGTAGAATGGCAGGAACATCCATCCGGAGACAGAGTCAGAAGCCCAGAAGTGGTCTGTTATGGACTGACTGTATATCTACCCAAAAAAAAGATGTGTTGAAATCCTAACCCCCTATACGTCAGAATGTAACCTTATTTGGAAATAGGACCACTGCAGATGTAATTAGATAAGATATGGTCATACTAGAGTAGGGTGGGCCCTAATCCAATGTGACTGGAGTCCTTTTAAAAAGGGGGAAGTTTGGACACAGACATATGCATACAGGGAAAACATCATGTGAACATGAAGGCAGAGATCACAGTGATGCTGCTACAAACCATGGGACCACAATTGCTGGCAAGTCACCAGAAGCCGGGAGAGAGGCTCGGAAGCCAGGAGACAGGCACGGAGGCCGGGAGAGAGGCACAGAGGCCGGGAGAGAGGCACGGAAGCCGGGAGACTGGCACGGAGGCCGGGAGAGAGGCATGGAGGCTGGGAGACAGGCACAGAGGCCGGGAGACAGGCACGGAAGCCGGGAGAGAGGCATGGCACAGAATCTCCCATGCTGCCTTAGAATGAAGCATCTGGCCAGGCGCAGTGGCTCATGCCTGCAATCCCAGCACTTTGGGAGGCTGAGGTGGGCAGATCAACTGAGCTCAGGAGTTCAAGACCAGCCTGGTCAATATGGAGAAACCCTGTGTGTACTGAAAATACAAAATTATACAGGCATGGTGGCACATGCCTGTAATCCCAGCTACTTGGGAGGCCGAAACAGAAGAATCTCTTGAACCCGGGAGGTGAAGGTTGCAGTGAGCCAAGATCATGCCACTGCACTCCAGCCTCAGCAACAAGAGCAAAACTCTGTCTCAAAAAAAAAATAATAATGAAAAAGAAGGAAGCATCTGTGTCAATACCTTGATCTTGGCCCTCTACCCTCCATGATTATGAGACATAATTTCTGTTCTTCTGAGCCACCCAGATTGTGGTATTTTGCTCCCTAGAAAAATAATACATTATTCTTGACTCTTCCCTTCCTCTTATACGCCCTCCACAATATCCAATCCATCACCACCACATTCCATTGGCTGTACCTCCTAAATTCCTCTCTGATCCACTTCCCCTTCTCCGCCTCCACCACAGGATCCAGATGCCCCTTGCCTCTCATGAACTACTGCAGTGGCATTCCGGCTGGTGCCCCAAACCCATTATGCCTCTTGCAAATGTTCCTCCCCACTGCAGCCACAGTGATTTCTCAGAAAACCTGACTTTGTCCCACAACCTTCACCACCCTTGACCCCTTACCCTTGCCCTGGCCACATTGAAGCTGCTCATTACTCTTACAATAAAGACATGCCCAGAGGGTACCCAACCCCACCTCCCCTCCAGTCCTTCACTGACTCCCAGACCCCACTCTGTAGGCCAGCTTCCCAGCCTCCCTCTGTCCCCTGAGCAAGCCATGCTCCCTGACAACTGGAGCCTTGCAATGAGCATGGCAGCCCTTCTGCGTGGCCTGGCTTTTGCCTCACTCCATCCATTCTCCACGTTTCTCCAGCACATCCTGCAGGTCACAATTCAAAGGTCACTGGTTTTTAGAGAACTCTTCCTTCACCCCCAGTTGAAGTTAAACGCCACTGCTACGCCCTCTCTTCATATCCCATCATTTCTCATCATGGCACTGACCATGATGTGTGATTTGCATTTATTTCTCAGTTATCTGACTGTATCTCTAAGTTTCATTAGGGAGCAGCCAGGTCTGTTTTGCTCACTGTTGTTCTCCAGCCATCAGCACAGGGCGAACATCTAGCTGTAGAATGAGTGAATGAAAAATGATCCCTTTGCCAGAATGAAATAAGACAGTGCATTTGACTGATCTTATTTCCGGCCATTGTAGACTTCTATTATTTTATAAATGTGATAACACTGTGATAAATCATCAGAAAGATAACTCTTTGTGCACATATCTGATTATTTCTTCAAGACAGATTATTGAAAGACATCGACTATGCAAAGGTTTTCAAGCTCCACATAATTGTTTAGAATTTTCTCAAATGGGAAAGTATTAACCATAAATATATATGAGAGAGGGATGGAAGAAAGGGAAGAGAGAGGGAAAAAAAGGTGAGAGAGAGGAAGAAGGAGGAAGAAAAAGAAGGGAAAGGGAAAGGGGAGGGGAGGGAAGAAGGAAGGAGGGGAGGGAAGAAGAAAGGACTGAAGGAAGGAAAGGAGAAAGGGAGGGAAGAAGGGAGGGAGGGAGGGAGGAAAGAAGGAAGGAAGGGAGAGAGGGAGGGAGAGAAATAAAAAAGAAGAATCAAAAAAAAAGGGAATGAAGAAAAAGAGGATGAGCTAAGTTAAGCAGGCTTTGTCTCCCTAGGAAGCAGCCTCTGCTGAGACTGCTGCCCGACCAGTTTCGTAGGCCCACTCTGTCTGCATCCCTGCCAAGTCATCCCTGGGAAAGGAAAAGTTAGACACTCTCAAATCCCAAGGTTTAAGATGATAAAGACCCTACGAGGCAGGGGCGAGGCAGTTCAGGGCTTTCTGTTCCCCTGCCCCTTTGTTCCAGCCATTTCTTCCATCTCAAAGGATTTCCAGCAGCACCAAGAGCCTGACACTGCCCATCCTCATTCTCACAGGCTTCTCCAGCGAGAGACAAAGCCATGTTGGCACTCAGGAGGGCTCACAATAAAGGGGGACTGAGAGAGAAGAAAGCACCCAGAGAATCTGGCTGGGCTCAGTATATTCAGTTGCTGCAGCAACTGAAAGTTAAACAATGAAGAGGGGAGGGGACAGCCATTTTCTTCCCTCCGTCCAGTTGTCATGGATACTGGGGTTTTAAAAGTAAAGGGGTGAAAGGTTTTCTTTATGCTTTAGAAACGGTGCCTTTTCTCACTTACTTGGCCCCTATCCTTGCTCCAGACTGGGGACCTTCCATTGTGCCTCTTACTGGAAGGCGGCTTGGGGAGGGGGTTGACTGCAAGATGCTTTCCGTAAAGGTGATCTTCTGGCCAGTAGCTCTAAAATCCATTTCCCTGTAAAGCCAGGCAGAAAGGCTGAAGCATTCATGGAAATTTCCATCCACCAGAAGGTTCTATCTACACAGCAGGAAGGCTGTGTCCTCGACCTCTTTCCTCCCAGTGTTCTGATTCTCCCAGGAGTGCTCACCTATAGGAAGTTCCTTAAAGGTTTAGCCTTGCCCCTCCACTTCCACCTGCCCCCATCACCCGCCCAGACACCCATAGGTGGCTTCCTCCTCCAGGACTTTTCAGGATGAACACAGCACAGCTCCTGCTTCTGATGTCTCCTGGCTGCTTTACCCTGAAACAATGTCAGGGCCCTGGCCATCTTGCTTTTCAGCATGGGATGTAAGAAGGTCATCAGCTTTGCTGACTGAGAGTCAAGGCTCAGCTCTACCATTCATCAGAATGACTTGGCAGGGTACTTAATTTGTCTAAATCAAATTTTCTCATCTATAAACAGATTATAATGTCTATCACATGGCATTGCTGAGAGTGTGAAGTGAGAAAATGTAGCTGGCATGGCAACCATGATACTGTCCCTGCCCGTGTCTCCAGCACCCATTCCCCTCCCTCCACATCTGTACATACTCAGACATGTTCTCATACACTCATGCATGCATGCTCACACCAACACCCACACAATCCCGCACAATCACGCACACATGTGCAGCCACATCCACTACACAATTCAGTTATTTATCAGATGTTTTAAGTGAATGAATGGTTCAATGAGAGAGCTGTCAAGAGTACAGATGAGGCCAGGTGCAGTGGCTCACGCCTGGAAGCCCAGCACTGTGTTGGCCAGGCTGGTCTCAAACTCCTGACCTTGTGATCCACCCACCTTGGCCTCCCACAGTGCTGGGATTACAAGTGTGAGACACCACTCCCAGCCTGATTTCCCTTTTCTTTACCTCTACTTATTCAACTCCCTATACCCTCAAAGTCTTACATGAAATCCCAGCCCACCAGCAGCACTTCTTCTTGGAACCAGCAAATATCTACAACCCGGGCCAGCCCCTTCGTGCTGTTGCAGTTTTCCCTCCTGTCTCTTTCTGTCTCTGTCCTGCCTGCACCAGGAGGAGGTTAAAGAGACAACACCAATTCACAGCTGGAGTTGACAGGTGCCAGACAATGACCATGTGCCAGTCTTGGGAAGTCATTTACATGCACACAGTGGTGGTTCTGAAGGCAGGTCCTGGAATCAGAGTGCCTGGATTTGAATCCTGCTGGTGCCACTAAATGTGCTTTATGCTTGTTTCTCTTCTCTAGGGCTTGCTTTCTGAAAATAGGTTGTTTGGCGAATTCTATGAGAAGACGCACACAAAAAGCTCGTCAACCAGCAGCACCTGGCATCCAGCAAGTGCTCAACAATTGTGAGCTGTTCTCATGATCAAATTTGATTTCATGCCATTCACACAAACCCTCTCAAGAGCCTGGTGTACACAGATACATAACAGATGCATCGCATATACGTGGCAGAGGCATAGCGCATACATGGCAGATGTGTAGCACATACGCAGCAGAGGCGTAGCGCATATGCGGCAGATGCATAGTGCATACAAGGCAGGGTGCTTGGGGCTAAGAAGGGGATACAGGTCCAGCAGCATCTCAAGCATTTGTGCACCAGGAAATAGATGGTGAGGCTTTTGTTTGATAGAAAAGGGGAAAAGACTGACACACCACTTGGGGAATGGTAAGAAACACAGGGAAATGGGGAGCATGGCCCCACTCTGTCTTTGACAGCCAGGCTAGAGTCTCCACTGGGTGTGCAGTGTTGGTGCACAAAGAACTGTCTTCATGAGTGACGGCAGGACCCCAGGAGTCAGTGGTGCCACTGCAGGGCCAGGCAACACCGGGGTGGGAATGGGAAAATACAACAGACTGTGTCAGTAGACATTTAAATCACGACCTGAAAAAGCAAAGAAATAACAACAAAAATGAGAGCTTGGTGAGACCCAGAGGAGAGAGAAGTGCCAAGATCCTGCAGTCACCCGGTGAGAAGCTAACAAAACGCCCACACTTGTCACCGGGATCCCTTCCGCACCTCTAGACTGCTGAGGCCTTGAGACATGGATGGGATTAACCCAAGTTTAAAGATGGAAGAACTGGACTCAGAGAGGTTAAATAGCTCAACCAACATCCCCACTCTCCTACGCTTCCCCACTCGGTGTCCATCCTGGCTTTGACACGGCAGCACCTTGCGTCCACTGGGCTTGCCGGCCTGCTGCCCTGGAGCACCTGACTGTGAGGCTCAGCCTCCCCCCCACCTGCTAACTGGCCTCAGATTAGGGTGGAACAATAGACAGGGCGTGTAGGGCTGGGTCCCCGAAGCTGTCCCTCGGCATCACTGGCAAAGACCCGCCTCTATTAGCTGCAGCAGGCCTGCTGCTGTGCTCTGTAATCCAAATTGAGTTCAAGCCCCCAGCCTCTGTGCACCATTGTCATACCATATTTCTTACTCAGTACGAGATCAGAGATCTGCTAAAACCTCATGTTGCCAACATAAAAGAAGAAAGATTTTGTTAATCCCAAAGAAAATGAATTCCTCTTACATTTCCCTGAAAAAAAAAAAGGAAAACACGAGAGTATTACATTTGACTCTCAAGAAAAAAAAGCAAAACACGTACACACACAGAAAAATCCCTGCTATCTTGAGACGGTTAAAGCACGCGGCTTTACAAGTCAACAAAAAGAACAGCAATGACACCCCCTTCACCTCTTGCCAGTTTCCCTTCTTATGCTGGATATTCCAGCTGTTTTTCCCTGAGATGCTTTTGGATTCGATAATCCCACCAGCCTTGAGATACAGTATCTTTGAGGAGGCAGAGTCAAAAGAGAGGATGCTCATAGGATTTGAGTGAGAAGAGAGCAAGGGGCAAGAAAAGAAAGTAAGAGACAAAACAAACGAGCCCTAAACATTTGATTTTTCTTTTAATTTGAGAATTTCAGCGCCAAAAGGGACTTTGGAGATGACTGTTCAGACCTTCTCGTGCACACACACACACACACACACTTGCACACACAAGGCAGGTGAGGTGAGGGGTTGAGGGGAGCAGTGATTTGTCCAAGGAAAGGAATGCTTGATTTAGGCCGATCAGATTAAAAGGAACAGGGACTGAAACATGCTAATTTGTCTGGGAAGAGCCCTATGTGAATTTCAGCAAATGTCTCCTAGGGAAAAAGGCCGTGATACCCATCTTTTTTTTTTTTTTGAGACAGAGTGTAGCTCCATTGCCCAGGCTGGAGTGTAGTAGCTCAATCTTGGCTCACTGCAACCTCCACCTCCCAGGTTCAAGGGATTCTCCAGCCTCAGCCTCCTAAGTAGCTGGGATTACAGGTGCGTGAGGTTACCCTGCCCTCTGAAATTTAAATAAAATGGGTTCACGTATAGCCCTATGTCCTGGCAAAGTCTCATATCCACCCTGACATCCCTAGAGCCGTACATCCTCATGGCAGCTCTTCCCAAACTTTGATCGCACTCATCTCCCGGCTTCATCAGCTGGTCTCACTGCTCACCACGCCTGGCTAACTTTTGTATTTTGAATAGAGATGGCATTTTGCCATGTTGGCCAGGCTGGTCCCAAACTCCTGACCTCAAGTGATCCACCCACCTTAGCCTTCCAAAGTGCTGGGATTACAGGCGTGAGCCACTGCACCTGGCCTCATCCACACTCTTGACAGCTCTCTCATTGAACCGTTTATTCACTAAAACATCTGATAAATAACTGGATTGTGTAGTGCAGGGCTTAGCACATCATTGCTGGGGACCAAATCCAGCCCACTGCCTGGTTTTGTATAGCCTCGGAGCTAAGGGTGATTTTTACATGTTTTAAGGGATGAAAACAATTTTTAAGAATAATATTTTCTAACACATGGAAATTACACGCAACTCACCTTTCGGTGTCCACAAACAAAGTTTTATGGAACACAGCCCCACTCTTTCATTCGCACTGTCTCTGGCTGCCTTCCCATTACAGCAGTAGAACTGAGTAGTTGTGACAAAGACAGAACGGTCCACAAAGCCTAAAATCATTACCATTTGGCCGTTACGGAAGAGTTTGCTAGGGGTTGGATTCTTTGATAGTGTGAGTTTGTGGGTCTCCAAGCTCCTTCATCTCGTGGACATGAACATTACGGTACCCTGGCCATCATGTAGGCGCTGTGTGACCGGGCACATTGGTGAGCATCTCTATGCTTTGTTTCTTTCATCTGTAAAACGGAGATTATGTTTATTGAAGCAGCATAATTGAAACCCAAGTAGACACCAACTAAGGTCACCCTGCCCTTTGAAATGTATATAAGATGGGTTCAGTACACACTATATCCTGGCAAAGTCTCACATCCACCCTGACATCCCCAGAGCTGTACATCCTCATGGTCACTTTGGCTCCAAATCGCAGCTCTTCCCAAACTTTGATCTCACTCCTCTCCCAGCTTCATAAGTGGGTCTCGCTGCTGTGTTCCAGCACAGACTGTGTAACTCAGCCAGCTCTCCTTAAAACACAGTCACAGGGGGCATTTGGCGTGAAGCAGGTTTTGCTGAGGGTTCGGGGCTACGGGGAAGAAATGACGTGGCCCAAACCATTTAAATCCAAATAATTTAAAACGGGGCATCCAGCTTCTGTCATTTCAGCAGGCTCATGGCTGAGCCGCCGCCAGCCATTTCCCAGGCGCCACCTTCCCAGTAGGTTCCAGCCTTCTGCCGTGCCAGCCCACCTCCTCGGGATTCTCCTCGCTTCTCCCTGATTCTCTGTTTTCTGGATCCCCTTGGTCCTCAAGACCACCCCTGCCGCCCCCCCACCCACAAGTTCAATTTTCAACCCCATATAATACAGAACCAAATAGCTTTCCACCCGATGCTTACACTTCCATGGCCATAGACTTCAGGTTTTTTGATGAACAAAAGGCCCCTTGCTCTGTCTCATCCTTTAGCAACCCAGAACTATCAGAAAATCAGACATTCTCTCCTTGCTCCAGCAATCGCTAAGTGTCCATATAGTGTCCAGCTGATAGGAACTGTCTCACATCTCCCTTGGGAAACAGAAGCACTCACAGTTGGTTTGGGATTGACCTGCTTTTTCTCTTCATTAAAGTGTCTGAAGTATCTATTATAGTGTTTGACACATAAAAAACACCAATATATGCTAGTTTACTTCATGTGACGTCCCTCCAACAAGCAAAATACATAACATCATGTGCATAACAATATATGCTGCACATGTGGATTTTGAACATCTACTCGTCCACAGTGAAAATCTCCATCTGGAGGATGTACTGGGGTGTGAGGAGGAATGAGGAGTGGATTAGGTTGGAGGCCACTCAGAACAAGGTGACAAAAGTAACGGATTTCTCCTTCTCTACCTTTTAAATGTATCAGGGGCTGAATAAAGTCACCAGATCAAACTCCCTTGGATGTTGCCACGTTCTTTCCTTGCCAGAAGAAAAGGGTCCTAAGAAACATGTATATATACACAATGAAATACTGTTTGGCCCTAAGAAAGAATGAAATTATGTTATTTGCTACAATATGGATGGAACTGGAGGTCATTACGTTACATGGAAGAAGCCAGGCACAAAAGACAAAGATCAGTGGTTCTCACTGATATGTGGGAACTAAAATAGGTGGACTGCATGGAGATAGAGAGCAGAACGGGAGTCACCAGAGGCTGGGAAGGGTGCACAGGGGTGAGGACAAAGAGAGGCTGGTTAATGTGTACAAACACACAGTTAGACCATGTTCAGTAGCAGAGAAGGGTCACTATTATTTACAACACTATATCATACATTTAAAAATTTTTTTATTATTTTATTTCATTTTTCCCCAAGTTATCGGGGTACAGGTGGTATTTGCTTACATGAGTTTTTCAGAGGTGATTTGTGAGACCCCAGTGCACCCATCACCCAAGCAGCATACACTGCACCATATTTGTAGTCTTCATTCCCTCGCCCCCCTCCCACTCTACCCCCACATCCCCAGAGTCCATTGTATCATTCTTATGCCTCCCACATATCCGTAAGAACATAACGGATGTGTGGTTTTGCATTCCTGAGTTACTTCACGTAGAATAATAGTCTCCAATCTCATCCAGGTCACTGCAAATGCTGTTAATTCATTCCTTTTTATGGCTGAGTAGTATTCCATTATATGTATATACCACAGTTTCTTTGCCCATTTGTTGATTGATGGGCATTTGGGTGGGTTCCACAATTTTGCAGTTGTAAATTGTGTGCTATAAACATGCGTGTAAATGTTTTTGAATAATAACTTCTTTTCCTCTGAGTAGATACCCCGCAGTGGGATTGCTGGTTCAAATGGTAGGTCTACTTCTAGTTTTTTAAGGAATCTATACACTACAAAAATATGTACCCTTTTAAGTAGGCAAAAAAGAGGACTTGAAATGTTGCCAACACACAGAAATAATAAATACTCAAAGGGATTGATACCCCAAATACCCTGACTTGATCATTGCACATTCTCATATGTAATAAAATATCACATTTCCCCCATAAAAATATGTACAAATATGATATATCAATCAAAGTAAAATAAAATTTAAAATTATAAAAGAAGGATTATAAGTCTTTGTCTCTATTACATCTATACTGCATAGAACATCACTGAGGACTATTTCTTCTCTTCTCATGCCTCCTTTTGCAATCTGTGATTTGGTCATACTGAAACACTGTCCCGCTATGTGCCACCTTATCTAAACCCCTGAATTTTTCACATGCTGCTAACTTTACTAGAACTCTCTTTTGTGGCCCAACCCCTCTGTCTGGCAAATATCTACACGTCCATCAATACTCTGTATCTCCTAGGACCGACATGATAAATAAATCTTCAGTATTTGCAAAGTTGCATTCAGTGGTTCTCAAAGCACTCAAACTGGAAGATGAGAGGCAGCCAAAATTTGGCAGGCACCAGCACAGCGCTGCCTTCAGTTCTGTTCTAGAATAGACTTCCTGAGCATTTTCTGGGCAGATCACACTGCCAGGGCAAAAGGCTTCTCACACCCCCACTGCACGGACACTGGCCAGTTTCTGTCTCCTATAGTCACAAGGCTGCCCTCCGTGTCTCCCAGCATCTTTTAGTCCTTCTGGAACCGCCCAGTTCGCCATCCATTCCTGGGGCTGCCAGGCAGTCTCTCCCTTGGCTCAGTCCACAGAATCAGATTTGGAGTGTCTGTCAAATGAATTGGGGTTCTGTTCCTTCCAACCTGTGTTGAAATTTACAAGCCTAAAACAAAGGCTCTCACTGTGCCCTGGTCTTGGCTCTGCCCAGGGCACTAATTACCCAACAACAGCCATCCCTTTCCCCTGGAGAAAGTGGCCAACTGACGAAGGTGCCCCATAGGGGGTTGCTGAGAATGATCTTTTCACTTTCTTTCTAAAGTGCCTTTGTCCCTATCACCAGTGGGCTGCCCTGCCTCAGTGCTGCTGGGCATTTATAGATACAAATGAGCTACCAGGAGGCCTCACAGGTGTTGAGTGGCTACCACGAGCTGAGGCTATGCAAAACGTTCTCAGTATGATTCCTCTGCAACTCTGCAAAGTGAGCATTCTTATCCCCATTTGAAAGTCAAGGGACCAAAATCCCAGAGCCATAAAATCAGAACAAAACTAACCCGGATTAAAACCCAGTTCTGGCTCAAAAGCAAGCCCATGCTTACAGAATAAACTAGGAAGCACAGCTCTTCCCGTATCCTAGAATCATGTCGTTTTGCAGCTGGAAACAACCCTACCAAAGATCATCTTGTTCAGCCAAAGCAGTAAGGGGAGCTGAACCAAGAATGCAACTGGCAGATTGACAGGCACCGACCTGAAATCCAGGTCTTGGACCTTGAGGCCAGCACTATGTCCTATCGACTTGCTCACCCATCATTGTCCTGGACTTCCCAAGGGCTTTGCCTCACTGATTGTTGACCAGGCTGCTCTATACTAAACAGGCAATTGAATGAGACCTTGAGCGCACAACAAGCCAAAGGTAGCTGGAGTGACCGGCATCTCAGTGAAGGCAGCCAAACATGTCTACAAAACATCAGTCAACAGGAAGCAGAATTGCTGCAGTCACTAATGGCAGATGCTGTGGACACCCTTGAAGGAAGAAGAAATGATAAAGAACATGTGCGGAATTCAATCCAAAAGGTTGGATGACTTGAAGACTTTCTATACCGATTAGAGGACAGTTTCCTAAAAACTAAAAAACTGAGAACTGCCCAAAGGCAAAAAATAAAAATGAAGCTTCTTCAAAATGTTCACTAAAGCTAGTCATTAGGAGCAGGCGCTACCACCAAGACATCCCAGAAGAAGCAGCAAGGGCATCCACCCAGAGTGCGCCCCAAATACTGTGACAACTGGATAACAAAGGCCTGTCACCAACAGAAAGAGATGGTTCATGTCGTTTTGCAGCTGGAAACAACCCTACCAAAGATCATCTTGTTCAGCCAAAGCAGTAAGGGGAGCTGAACCAAGAATGCAACTGGCAGATTGACAGGCACCGACCTGAAATCCAGGTCTTGGACCTTGAGGCCAGCACTATGTCCTATCAACTTACTCACCCATCATTGTCCTGGACTTCCCAAGGGCTTTGCCTCACTGATTGTTGACTGTAGATCCCCTCAGTTCATCTACATCAAAGACACTCTGTTTCATTAATCTCAACTGACAGCAATAAATGTTCTCAGCGAGTACCAGAGTGCAGAAGGCACGCGCGTCCAAGGCTTTGCAGCGGCATGGGGAAGTAACTGCCTAAGCACTCACCTTCTGCCCAGCTGCGTGGTGAGCTGGAATCTGAGAGAGAGCCCAGGTAGACAGAAACACAACCCCGAGCCTTGTGATTAGAGGGAAACCCCCTGGAAGAAAGGACAAATTTGCAATAAAATAAAAAAGACCAACCCTCTTCTCCAAGCCTAAAGGAAATAAGTTGCACCAGATGAAAATCGGGCAGCAAGCCAGATCCACTCTGCTTTGCTGTGAAATGCCTCCATGCTACGTTTTCATGGGAATTTTGTACCTTGGGTAGAAATTAAGCAGATTTGCTACTAGCGGGTACTTCTCTTCCTCTGAAAGTAAGTAATAGGAAAGCAGGTGAGGCAGCCAGAAGCAGGGAGGCTGACTGGGTCCAAGACTGGTGGCAGAGAATTAAACCCGTCTATCTCATATAGGAAACACTGAGGTCAAACTTTATGAAACTCTCCAAGAGAATAAAATATGGAATAAATAACCCTACACAAACAGCTTTGCTTAATCCGCGAAGGACAAGGTAAGTAACAGAGGTCTTAGATTGGAGTAAGAAACACTGAGTTGAAACATCAATTACAATGAGGAGAGTGACAACGTTTCAATCAATTCAATTTAGTTAAGCCATAGAGCATGGTAGCTTAAAGTTCACACAGTGCCAGACTGTTGGGATGTAAGTTTTGATTCAAGGACTTACAAAATATTTGCCCTTAGGCCAAGGCATGATGCCCTGTGTCTCAGCCTCGCCCACCTGGGAGAGAGTCGTAACCCTGGCATTCCCTCATATGGTTGCTGGAATTACATACTAGAACATTGAGTGTTGACGGCACTGCAGTCACTGCTCCAAGCATTCTCCACCACGTGTGATCTCACTTAAGCCTGACAACAACTCTATAAAGCAGTTACTTTTCTTACAAGCACATGCACATAGACACATGCACACACATACGCACTGCACAGAAAAGGAAACAGGCATGCTGAGGTTAGGTAACACGCCCAGCATCACACAACTGGTAAACAGTAGAGTTGGGATTTGAGCCCACACAGTCCGACATGAAATCCTGTGTCTCACCACCATACTATCTGTCACTCATATAAACGTTTATCCCAGTGCCTGCAGCCTAGCAAGCCCTTGAAATCCTTCGGCCTTGTTCCAATGGGTCCTGAGATGTTGGAAATTACAACTAAGCAAATTTGGCTGGAGCACTGACAGCAGGGCTGCCGAGGCACTCACTAGAGGGCAGCTCAGAACCTTACCCATCCTAGGGTGGGCGATCATGTCTCTTTAAACC